CGGTCCGGCTGTAGCTAGCAGGGCCCGCGCCCCTTCCCTTCTTCCCTCCTTTGATCTGAGAAGGCTCGGTGGGGCCATTGATTGTGGAGGAGGAGGAGGAGGAGGAGAAGGGCGATAAATAATGGGAGGGGGGAGGAGGAAGGAAAACAATTATCTGCGTTGGCGGAAGGCTCATAAAGTGAAGAATGATAAACACCGTGAAATACGATTGACCCCAAGTGATATATGGAAGCCGAAGGACAGGCGGCGAGTCTGTGTGCGTACAGATATCCTTGAATTGAAAGGCTGCGAGCGAGATGAGGACACGCTATACTGCCCCCCCGAGTCTAACCACATTTTTCAATATGTGTGTGTGTGTGTGTGCGTGTGCGTCTGCGTGTGTCACTCTTTTAGCAGACAACAGATGACATCGTTTCATCGGCGGAGTGCTCCAGCGACGACGAGGACCTGGAGGAGTGCGACTCGGGACACGCAGGTGGGATAAGTGTGTTGAGCTGTGCTTGCTCTCAACCTGTTCTATTTCCTCCTGATCTTTTCTTTGATTTGCTGCCGAGGAAACGAAAATCTCCTCTGAGCATCACGTCCCATGGGAGCTTCAAGTGTAACTTCAGTAAAAGCCTGCACATAATGAGTAACACAAGTGTTGGTAACGTGCACTTAGGGTGAACAGGTTCTCAACATATTTATACAAGTGTGTAAGGCTCAGTCTACACGATAGTCTGCTCTGTCAAAAGTCTTAAGGGTAAAAACACACACATCGTCACGTAGTCCGACATGGCAGTGGAATCTCACACCGTGGTAGCAGTAAATCAAGTTACACTTAGCGATGGGACCTCTGGTTGCAGACATGACCGGGCATTGATACTAACTTTGGTCTCTCAGCACTGGTGGAGAGAAACACTTTGGTACAAAGTACAAAATTAGTATCAATCCGCATGTCACCCGCACTGATGCTTCAAAATGTATCTGTCCTGTACATGGTCGACTTCCTCTTGCTGTGCGTGTGTGTGCGTCTCTCTTGACAGAGGATACATTTTGAGACTCCCTCCAAACAAAGATGCTTTCAGCATAGATACTGTGATATGTAGCAGACTAACTGCAACAGAGCCTCCTCCCCTCCTCTGTCCTCCTCCTTCTCCTGTTTGTACCTCTGTTTTCCTCGTCGGAGGCTTGCCTTACCTTAAACATTCTAATAGAGAACAGATATCCTCGAATTTCTGTGCGCATCGTCTCTCTCTCTCTCTCTCTCTCTCTCCCCTACTCACTTTGCAGACACAAACACACCCACACACACAGAACAATGCACACTGTAGTTATAACATGTTTATTTAGTGCAGTGTGGTTCTAAAAACAAGCCAACAATATGTCAGGTTGTTTTGAGGCAACTTGGGTTTGGACAACTTTTCAATAACGGACCGTCAACCCCACTGCAGCCCAGAGCGCTTGGCATGTGACCCAGCAGAGTCAACCTGGAGCGCGTGGGCTCTGCAGAAACCGCAGCGTAGTTTGTGGAATGCATTTCCACCTCAGACACTCTGAAAACCATTAGCGGCTAAAGGCTATTTGATTGCCTCAGTCCCCTTCAAAAGGCCATCACAGCCGGCTAATTAATGCCGCGCTAATCCGCCTCAGCATATGGCCACTTTTCACAGCGGAAAAAAAAAAGAAAGCCAAAAGCGAGACAACGTATTCCTCTCCTCCTCCATTCCCCGTGCCCCGAGAACATTACAGATAATCGAAAGTTTACTTCTCCCAAAATGAGATCTCTTCCATGTCATTTAGCGGATCTTCGGCGAGTAATTTTACTTTTCTGCTTCAATCTGCGGAAGGAACTCATTTACTCTGAAGCCTTATCGCACTGTTAAAGCGTTTGTTTTCTAGAAATCATGGCCACATTTAGAGTTTGGTGCTCATGGCGTCGTGATGTGGAGAAGAAAAGCCATTTTCTCTGCGCCTTCATGCAGTATTTAGGTGCTTTATCTACGAGCGTGAGCTGCGTTCCTAACTTAGAGATTATTGAATTCAAATGGAGCCTTTTTCTTTTTTTTTTTACGTGTCCTGACTGTTAAAACACCAAACCCAAGTGCTCTCAAAAAGTTGATACCAAGAAGTAATGGTACCCTCCCCTCATATAGTGGCAACATAGGTAGTCATACACACTCATACATAGTGTACATTTCACCATGTTGACACAGAAATTCATACCCTCATTCCTTGTCCTGCTCTCATTCGTAGGACCAGTTGCACGCCATCGTCTTAGTTCCATCATTTGGCGTTTTCTTCCGTTCCTCCTCTATTGTACATTTAAACATTTTCCATCTGTATCAACTTGGACCCATCTGTCAGTTGTCTCACAATTTCTTCAAGTTATTGTTTTCTGTTCCACCCCGAGGGTCGTTGTGGGTCGATCAGGGGGTGATTTTGATTTCACGTTTTGTTGTGGTTGTTTGAATTTGTTTGTTTGTTTTTGTTTTTGTTTTTTTTCTTCTTCTTCTCGTTGTTGACCTCATCATCCGTCGCCCATCCTTCAAGCAAGGATACAACCGCTCCTCCCGTTTTTCGCCTCATCTTGTGCCGCATGAACTTTTGGTGGTTGGAAAATCCAAAGTCCTCCTCATCATTAAAGTTTGTGTTGATTCATTTGTGCCATATGGCTTGTAAAGAGCACCCNTCTTTTCTTGCCATCGTCCTTTTTCAACGGCCTGGTGCAGGCAACCCCCCCCCCGCTCCTCCCCCGCATTCTGTCTTAAGAAAGTTGTGTGTGAATGACTGACCCCCGGTCTCTCCCCTTGTAAACGTGAGCCCCCCCCATCCTCCCTCACTCCCTCCATCCTGACTCACCCACCTTTTTTCTTTCAGCCTCTCTGCATATACATGTCTGTTTGAATGCAGATGGCATAAAAAGACTTTTATTGCCACAAAGTATATCTGTTTTTCTATTCTATCTGTTGCTCCAAGTAGAAGGCATTTGTCGCATGCGTACTGTAGCGGACTGAACTGCAACGAGTCCGACTAACGACCCTCCCTCCCTGCCTCCCTGCCTCCCTGCCTCCCTGCTTTTGCATGGATATGATTGGCAGCCCTCGTGTGTCTTAAATAAAACCATAAGTCTCCTGCTAACTCCCAGCTGGCTTCTATGGTGCCTCAGTGTACATTTAGGGGGTTGGTCCTGCCACTGGGGCACCCTGGCAGCTCCTCCCTCAGAGTGTCTGTGCTGGTGACTGTCCTGTCTGTGTCTGTGCTCCGTCTGCGTCTGCTAAGTAGCCTGTCTTGTCTGCTGTGCATGTACGTCCGGTGGTCGTGTTGTCTGTCTTTTTAATAATACCGTTACGCCACCTCGTGCTGACGTGTGAGTTCCACAAGAGTTCCTAAAGGTGCGCAGCGACTCCTAAAAAAAAATCCCCCAACTAAGGGCCAACAGCAGATGAAACATCTGGGTACAGTAGTTCAGTCTGGTAAGACCAGAAATACACACTTGATTTCTGCCTTGGTCAAACAGCGTCTTTAACAAGTGCAGGCAAAACAATCCCACGTATAATAATTTGTCAGAGGAGAGAGTCAGGTACGATAATCCATTAAATTATAAATCATTGGTTTATTTTGAAGGATTGATCCAATTAATTAAATCTAATTACATCTAATGTAAAAAGGAAAAAAAAAGTCTTGGAAAATTACTGAAAACGTTTATGTAGCAGACTTGAGGATAAGGAATAGTGTTTTTACTCACTGTCTCCACCTATCTGTGAATGAAGGAATTGAAACCTGCAACAGCTTAAAAACAGTATTTCTTTAAGATGACTTAATAGTCATCACAAAAGTGAAATATATTTTATTTTTGCATTATTATTAGACTTCGCAATGTCCGGCATAAAGGTTTATTTAGTGTACGTCATGCTTTTATTGTGAAGGCAGTCCGTATCTTCACAACACAGTGATCTACTACTGATGGAACTCCATATTATCACAAGAATTTTTCACGAAAAAAAAAAAAAAGTTTGTCAGTGAAAACTTTTCTCGATGTTGTTTTCGACTTTTTGAGCAACATAAAAGCAGGGGTTAAAAACAGGTTACCTTTTGGACCTCGCTCATGATTATTAGGTTGCGATATTTTACTATTGCATTCTACACTGCTACATTGACTCAGCGGGGCGGGGAGTAAAGCATAGAAATAGATGGCCAAGATTCCTTGTGGCATCAGCTTTGACTTCCGTCAGGCCCCATTGGGCCAGCTGTCACTTCAGCACAGGTCTCAGATCAGTTTAAAGGTTATTCATCTGACACATGTCCACTGTGTGCAGAGGTGCAGCCTAATGGCTCTACAGCAAATCGACCGGTTGACAGGGGCAAGTCGCTACGCCTGCCCGAGACGCCAATTTTATACGCCAGGCTGCCCTTAGCTACATGATGACAGATTAAGAGCTATCTGCTATCTGCACCTTGACTTAAGAACTTTCCAGAAAAGAACACTTCCTCTAACCAGTTCTGCCTTGTACATTCTGTCAAAATAGACCTTTTCGCTCCCCGCGGTTGTAAAAAAGTACATGGCGCACATTTTAGCATAGCATGTTCCTCAGTGGGCCGCGCAGAGGGAAAATAAGATAATTGTATAATGTCATGACGTAGCCTTATGAGTCAAAGTGGTCATAATAGGCTAGTACATTACTCACGCTTAAAGTTGGCGTGTGGCTAACTTGGTCGTAGTCAGCTCAGTATCCATGATATTTAGAGACTGCCACAGCAGGTCTCCGGCTCTACAATGCAAACCACTACAAAGGGATTCTGGGGCCTCAAACCACTGACTCACCCTCAATCTGCAGCTTTAAAATCCCTTTGATTCTGTTCATCCTCGGTTGCTGCTGGTGCACAAGCTTTCCGCTTTTGTGGCGTCGAGCTGTCAAATCCCTGACACATCGTCAGAATTCATCTCCATTCGGAAGCCTCAGCAAATGCCGATGGACACGGGAATCAGGCAAGGTAGGAGAAGACAGAGAAAAGACAGAGAGCGGGGGAATGTGAAAGAGAAAAGTGCTACCGTAGGGCGATTTTTTTTTTTTTCCGTCTGCAGCCTTAAAGCTGCTGAGGTAGTCAGTCAATCAGCTCTTTAGAAATAACTATATTTACTTTAATTCCTCCTCAAAAGCCAACGCTGGCGTGCAGGAGATGGTAACTTTCCCCTGCATAAAAGCTCCAAAATTTGGTTTCATTTCATTTTCATTTTTTCCCCTCACAAAAGCAGAGGTTAGCGAGTGGCCACAGAGGAACATGCTTTATTTAAAATCAAATTTTTTAGAAAAAGAAAGAAAACAGTGCAGCCGTGGCTGTCGGTTTAAGGGAGAGGAGAATTATTTACCCAGGAGATTTAGGCTTTGTATAAAATCACTATTCATCTCGGCTTTAGTGGAAAAACAAACCCATTTAAAACTGCCGTGTTTGTCTGCTTCAGGAGCGCAGCAAGATGTGCGTTGCTTGTGTAAGAGCTTACACAGGATTAAAGTGTTTACCCAGACATTGAGGTCCTCCTCAATGACTTTAGAGGAAGACTGCCCCCTCCTGCCCCCCCCCACGTTCCTCCTCTACCTCCACCCAAATGCATTGTTAATGTAGTGCCGAACTAAAAGCTATCAGACAAGAATGAAGTGAAACCCTGCAAACGAGACCGAGTCAACAAGGCCCCGGTCGGTAAATACAGCTCCTGGCCAAACCTTAACTCACGTCGCTGATGTTTTGCACTTAACCAGGCGCGACGTTGTGTCACTGGAATATCATCACTGCACGGCATTTGCTTTATTTAGTCGTGGAAGAGATTATACGCCAGATGCATACGGTGAAAGGCCTCCGTACATTACCGAGTTCCTCGGAGCGTGGCGCTGTGCTCACATTCCAGACGTCAGTGTTGATATGACGCAGTCGCTGCAGTCGCTGCGATACGTGCCACACTTCCTCGGCGATGCGGAACTCATGAAGCCTGTTTCTTGACTAAATGAACGACGTAGTCCTTAATCAGCCTACGGAGGAGGAACCCACAGCTGACGCCCCGAAGATAAATGTGTGTCTCCCACCTCCTTAAAGTCACCAGAGGCCCAGATAAAGCTGCTGCCCTGCGCCCTCTTGTGGAACTCCTCCCCCAGCAGAGCTCTTATCTCTCAAACAAGGGCTGTTGGTTATGCACAGACCACAGAGCTGCTAAACATTTCATTAAATCTGGCTCATTAATTATCACTTCCTCAGCCTCTTGATTAATTAGCAAATCCATTGGAGCTAAATACCACCTAATATTGGCCATACATCAACCATGTTGTTCTCCTGGCAACGGCTATGAATTGGTTTCAGAAAAAATAAATATGTATATATATCCTACAGCCCTTTCACTGCAATGACCTCTTTACAAACATTTAACCCTGTTTACAGCGCCTCCCCCTGTTACCTCACCCCTGGCTTGCTGTACTGTTATTGTATGTTACTCTCCCTAAATGCAACTTACTTAAGCATGCACTAACCCGACCTGTTTTAGAGAAACCAAAGTCCAAACCAGAAACCCGTCTTGAGTTTTTCTGACGTACATCCAGACTGCACGCCCTGACCTGTGTTTAACACACTAACCAGCTAACTAATAATAAGACTTTTATTATTAGTTAGATGAAGGCGGCGACAACCCCACCTTAAAACTGCCCCCCCCCCTTTACCTGCATCAGTGTGTGCTCTCTGGTTGTTCATCTTTGACATTGTGAAAATTAAAAAAAAAAAATGATGCCTTTCTTTCTGTTTTATACTAATCTGTTTTATTTTTTGTCTTTCTTGCATATATGTACAAAAACATATATGTTTGTTTCTTGATTCTAAAATGTCTCATTTTAATCTGTTAACATTGATAATTACTGATAATGCTCTTTCCTCCCTTAATTGGAACGCCACTTCCTCTTTTCTCTATGATTTAGTTGAAGGTTAACGAACAGAATGATATATGTATAAAAACAAGATATTTCATAGAGAAAAGAGTGAAACTGCCCTTTAGTCAACCCTAAGAGTTGACCTTTGACCAGTGATCTTCTCAAAAACTATTACTTTGATTATCTCTGTTTCTGTTATCTTAATGCTAATCTAATCTGAGTGAATTGGGATTAACGGATATTTAAACGTTTCTTTTTTTTTTTGCATGGCTAAGAAGTTGCAGCTTAGGGTCTGTAAAACTGTGTTCAGAGTGCTGTTCTCTTTTGTACATGGGCATGTATATATGCTCATTGTTTGTATATCCCCATCCCTTCCTTACAGCCAAAAGCTCTAATGCCGCCCGACCGCTTCGTGCCGCCTTTACATGGACATGGCAACTGATGTACACGTTCGCCTCCATCTATGTCATTTCCTTCCTAGTACGTTCATAGGTCCCACCCCGTCTCACGTCCCCCTCCTCTCGAAAAACCCGTTAAGTAGCGATTCTAAGATATGTACAGTCATCCATTTGTTCACCACTGATGAACGCCGTAAAGTCGAGCAGGGAAAAGAGAAAAAAAAAAAAAAAAAGTCACACGGTGAGGCTGTAGATATTTACAGAGAGGTTTATCTATTAAAGTAACACGTATAGATTTACTGTTTCCTTTATATATAAAAGTCAACTATGGTGAAAAGAACAAAAACAGATATCCTGAAGAGATGGTGAGGATTATTTTTCATGTCATCGTGTGTGTGGATGTATGTGTTGTTGCCTCCCATCCTGTCTCAAAAGAGGAATATAAACATATTAATCAAGAAGTGTTAAACCAGAACTAACTGAACTTGTCCCAAAGCATTCTTACACAACTTTCTTTTGTACATTTTTTGTTTTCTTCCTGCCAAAATCATGCGGGCAATTTGTTGATGTAAGTTGACAAAACCGATGGTATGCTTTCTTCCTTTGAAAACTTTTCTAGGCCTTATGATTTTGTATTTTTTCTCAGCTGAGTTTCTTTTGAGTTCTTCTTTTTTTTTTTCTTACGTACTAATCCCTTTTCTTAATAGCTCTATCTGTGGCTTTTTCTTTGTGAATGTTTCTACGATGTTTGCTCTAACTCTGAACTCTCCGCAACGCATTTGCCAATTTTCTTTTCCGTTTATTTCCTTTTCCGTCTCCATTTTGTTCTATTCTTTGTTTTTGTTTTTTCGTTGTCTTCTTTTACTTTACTGTTCCGAAAAGGTTTGCATCTCCTTCTAGTGCCCTGTTTGTGAGCCTTTGCAATGTACAAAGAAGCCGCTGTGGCGCGAGGAAAGGCAGGTTCAACAGACATCTGAATGTTTCACACAGTTAACGTTGGGACACGTTTGGGGGGTTGATTGGAGAACGGGTGGCGTGTGGTGACGTCAAACGCAGCACACGCTCCTCTGAGAACCGACTCTCAGACTGAACACGGCAAACATTCAGGTGTCACTGAACTGCCAAGTGACTTTGTGCAATTGTGGTAACTGTAGGGGTCAAAAGGCAAGAGGCTAGGGCCAATAGGGGAGCCTAATATTGCACCAGAGCAGTGTATTCCCTCCATTAGTTTTCTACTGCTTTCTGTTTTCTATGTGACAGTTGTCAGTGGTGTTGGTGCAGCGGGGCTCAGAGCCCCCTCTCTGTGCAGCTCTACGATTCACATTACAGACATTTCAAACCCAGTTCGACTTTCCTTTAGATCTGCTGGCTCGCATTCGAATCGCAAACAAACCCTGACACCCCCGGCTCGCGTTTTATTCTCCGACCGTACACTCCGGTGTGCGGAGATAAAATAAACTGAATAAAGATGCCTGTTAAAAGCACATTTAGAAAAATGTGAAACCTGAGTTTAGTCTAGTCTCTGAGTCATAGGTCATTTAATGTACTCCAAATATCCAAGAAGCAAAAATAATCCTGAATAGTTTACAGTGCAGTATAAAGAGAAGGAGCCAGGATGTAGCATCCAGGATTTTGCAGTAATTTCACTGTGGCTCGCCCTTGTGCATCCCTCACAGCCTTTTGATGCAAAGTATACAGTCTTTTATTAATGGCTGGTGTTCTTGTTTGGTTTCTGAGGTTCAATGTTTTTGCACTGGTCGACTCTTCTGTTCTTTGATTTCTTTATTTCCTTTCTTTTCAGTTGACTTCTCCCTATGTTGAGCTTTTTTTCCATTCTTTGATTATTGGTTCTTGGTGTCGGCTTCTTGCTCTGCTGATCAAACACTGGCTGCTTTTCTCACTGCGCCTTTTCTCTCTCTTTCCGCTTTCCAGGAGGGGAGCTAGTCATTCCTGTGCTAGTTGAGGACCCAATAGACACCCCTTCTGTTTCCACCCGTTCCCCCTTCATCCCCCTCCCCCCAACCCTCCGCCCCGTCCTCACCATTATTGAGACCACCAAAGAATCCTTGGCCATGGCCACTGAGGCGGGGGTACCTTGCTTGTCGGACCGAGGCAGCGATGATTGTGATGATGGTGATGGTGGGGATGGTGATGATGATGATGATGATGGTGATGGGATGGTGATTTCGGGGTTTGGTTCTGGCGAAGCTTTCGACTCTAGCCTGCCCCCGACTGACGATGAAGATTTTTACACCACCTTCTCCCTGGTAACAGATAAGATCTTGACCACATCGGCCTATGAAGGTGGCTACAAAGCCCTCGCACCCAAGTGGGAGGCCAAGGACTTGAGGCCTAGCAAAGCCTCTGAGGCAGGTAGAACTTCAACCACCTCGCCTCCACCAGACCCGCGGGGCACACCACCGGCAGCGGTCCCCTCAGACACGCCACCAAAGCGGCCTGCTGGAAAAATGAACAACCGCGACGTGAAGCCGCTGCAGCCGGACATTGTCCTGCTGCCTTTGCCCACACCCTTTGATGCAGACGGCACCAAGCCCAGGGGCCCCTTCATCACCTCGCCCATGCTGCGCACAGTGCCCGTGGCCTTGCCCACAATGCCTGGAGTTGTGCGGCGAGTCCCCCCTGGGGCTTCAGAGGTCATTCGGGAATCCAGCAGTACCACAGGCATGGTGGTGGGCATCGTCTCAGCCGCTGCCCTCTGCATCCTCATCCTCCTTTATGCTATGTACAAGTACAGAAACAGGGACGAGGGTTCCTACCAAGTGGACGAGACGCGCAACTACATCAGCAACTCGGCGCAGACAAATGGCGCCGTGATCAAAGATAAAACACCCAGTGGGAGCGCCAAGGGCGGCGCCGGTAGCAAGAGACCAAAAGACAAGGACAAGGAGTACTATGTATAGAAGTCAAGTCGTTTTAACACATAAAAACAAACTCTTTGAAACAAAGTTATAGACGTTTTTGACAGTACCATATTGGCAACTGTGATTTGAAAGCTAAACATTTCCAGAGAACTCAACTGTCGCTGAGTCGCTGAAACACTAGAGAAGTACTTTGGCTTTTAGAAGCACACTTACTATTGTAAGCATTTTGGAGAGACAGTGCAGTACAACTCCACTTGGATTCAACGTGGAGCTTTCAACGAGTCCCTGCTGGAGACTTTGGACAGTGTGAATAACGTCACCCTCAACATCAACATGCCCCCAAGTGACTGTCGAGAGGTGTGTGACCCTTAGAGCTCTAACGACCTTCGTCCATCGTAACCCTGTAAAATACGACCACCGTCATCTCAGCCATTCTGAGCATGCATGTGAGGTGTATGTGACGTGGTGCTGGCATCTGTGTAAGTGAGGGACCTCAAGAAATAATGATTGTGAGGAATGTTTGAAGTCAAAACAGGATTCACTTTACAGATGATTTCAATAAATGTAGCTCTCATCGACAAGGTCAATTTAAACATGTAATCAGAGGGTTTTTTTATATTCATTTATTTGTGTTTTTATTTTTTAGATGTAGTTTTTTCATATTTACGTAGGGGTTAAATTCTTGTTTTATTATTTATTTTTTATTTTTTTGAAAGGATGGTGTTCAGTCAGGGTTGAGCAGGCGGTGGTCAGTGACTGCACAGCAGGATGGAAGTAATGTATCTCAATATTTCTCTCTCTCATCCTCATGTCTCGGCTAAAGATTGGACCGCTGCGCATGGCATCCAAAGTCTAAATGGAAGTCATGTGTGCAAAGGCAGAACCGCTGCATTTGGTTTTGCACAACATATTGTGACATCGCTGAATTTGAAATCAGTGATAGCATTTTTGTTTCTTTGCTGAGTTTTTTTTTTTTTTTGATTTCCTCTCCCGGATCAGAAATTCTCATCCTCATTATACCACAATTAATACCATTCACATATAGACACGACACTGACTTTAAGGTAAGGAGTTTTTTCTATCTGTTGTCACAGACGACTGTGGCAGAAACAGCAGATATGTTTACATATTTTGCTACATCACGGCTCCTGTTTTTTGCAGTCAGAAAACTTGTAAAAAGGAATTCTGATCAGGCTCATCTGTCGTAGAAACAGGACAGTAAAAAAAAAAAAAAAGTTTGGACACTGACGCATGTTCACAGGAGCATTTCTTTAGGCAGTGTCGTGTCTTTGGGTGGTGCAGATTTTTGATCACTGGCAGCTGTCAAATCTAAGACAACCAACCTCCATCACAGATTATTCCACCTTTATTCAAAAAATGTATCATGTTATTTATTTTTTTATTGATCATTATTTAAGAAAAAAAAAAGAAGAGATTATGACAGATTTAAGGATCTATTGTCGGCACCGCGGTGACTCAACTGGTGTTCTACGGTATTTTTTCTGTTCTTTGTTTTAATGGTGTCAATATTCCTGTCTTTTACAGAAGTTAATTTTCTTTTTCTGTTATTATGTAGTTTAATGTCACGTCTCATTTTAGGACATTATCCTCTGGCGATATGTTGTTTTCAGTTATTTATTGCAGACGTTACTCGTGCTTTCTCATCTTCATTCAGAATCACTTGTGTTCACTCTGGGTTTTTCTTCTTTTTTTTCTGTGTTGGTACTTGGCCAGTTAATTATAATTGTCTAACGCTCCTTTGACTCCAATCAATTCCTGGAAATAAAAAAAAATATGTCGTTCCCAACTTTGCAATGTTATAACTGTGGTCGGCCTTCACTTCCTCATCTGTTGTCACATTCTGAGCACGGAGACAGATACAGGAGCAGCCGCACAGAAAACCATTGGCTAAAATCACAATTTCTCATCTTTTGATATCACTCGACTGATTTTCTTTTTGCTCTGAAAAGTGGTATTATTTCTATTCAAATGAAGCCCGCAGCGGAGAAAGCTCAGCACTATCATTTAACTATAGACGATTATGCAAATTCAGACACTGTTCATTGATGCACACAGAGAAAAAGGGAACAAGGGGAGAAATTGGTGATTGGAGCCCCGAGTCTTCACCTGCAGCAGTGGAACAGCTTTAGTTTGCTTAAAAGAAATATCTGTGAGAACCTGCACTGGTTCACAGAGATTCTTCACAGCCATATGGGTGGATTATGGGCAGCTCAATAGCTGCAGCACCTGCTTTCCAAACTCATTTTTACACTGTCCATATTTCGTGCAAATGGGCCTTCACAGAGCTGGTCATTAACTTGCAATAGCCCATTGATGTGGGATATCACAGCAGCATGTGTGAGTATATCAAGCTGGCACAATGACTGCATATTAACTCCTTCATCCTTCCACAGGCGTCGCACAAACGCAGGGATTGGTTTTCACATTCTGATAGCAACCCACATTTCAACAATAATGTTCTTTTTTTTTTTTTTTCTTAACAGAGAAAAGTGGTTGGAAATGTGTTCTGCATAGTTAAAAAAAAGTGGTGACACTTCATGTTAGAATGATTGTGCCCAACACAGGCAGAAAGAACCACAGTTGCTTCTATGGAAATTAAGATAGCAACAAAACAACTATGAAAGGTTTTTATGATTGTAAGAAAGGGCCATTTAATTTCAGACAGTAATAATCTAAGATCGGACCATTTACCACACTGAAAACCTAAAACTGCGCCCTCAAAGGTGACCCAGCAGAATGATTGTGCCCAACACAGGCAGAAAGAACCACAGTTGCTTCTATGGAAATTAAGATAGCAAACTGCGCCCTCAAAGGTGACCCAGCCCCCCACTTTGGGAACCACTGAAGTAGCCTAAAATTTTAGGCAATAACCAAAAAAGAATTATCTGTTTGTGTCACACACAAACAGTTTGTTCAAGGAATTAGTTTTATTTTCTTAACTGTCTGCTTTGTTTAAAATTTTAGGCAATAACCAAAAACAAATTTTGTCACACACACTCTGTTCAAGGAATTAATTTTATTTTCTTAACTGTCTGCTTTGTTTGGAAGTCACTCCATTTTCTTTTCTTTTTTATTTATTGTCTTTTGCACAATTAGCTTCACAGCTAATTGTACACAGTGCATCAGGTCCGACCTCTTGAAGTGTCATCGCTTTTGTGACACATCTGTCAGAAACCAACGTGTGTTTGCTAACAAGCTCACGGCTTTAGATGACTGAGCGTTTCAAGAAATTGTTGCATTGTCTTGTTGTGTGTTGTTTTGACGCGGTGAAACGCTAATGGCTTTTTTCACAGGGCACAGGGCGGAAATTAAAGTAATGGCAAAATTCTATACGGCACTTAGCAAGAGTGTAACGCCGTGAGAATAGAGAAACAAAAACAAGCACTGAAAGGTAATTGCGGGATTAATCACCGCAGTAAATGAGAAATATAAAGCATAATGTGTTCGCCAAATATTTTTTCCAAATAGTGAATTAATGGTACAATTAGTTTTGTTATCCTTTTAAATTCAGGTCCCCCCGAATAGCAGCCTCTTTTTTCATGCTCGAAGAGCTTCCAGGCACAAACCCTGAAACTGTGAGATATTGCTGCTTTCACAGCCATTAGTCACTTTCAAATTTATACCAGCAGGGTGCTGGCAGAGCAAAGCTATTCACTTGATATTCACAACCCATTTGCTTACACAGTTGTTGGCTGACAAAGTTTATTGATTACATTTTATGTGTAGCAACTACTTTCCCCTTTTAGTCGAATTAGTAGAAGTAGATTACATCAATCCCACTGATGTCAGCTGGATAATTCATATCTTAATTGACAGAAAAACAATTTACATTTGCTAATGGCTTTTCCAAAGGGATCTGTGTGTGTAGAAGCTGCGCCTCCGCCCCGTATGGACAGAGAACAGACGCCCAGTGACCGTTGACCTGTCGTGAAATTTGACCTCACCTAATGAACTGCTTAATCCCACATTAATATTTTATGGTTGTTGCCCCACCAACCCCCTCTGCCTCTGGCAAATAAACATCAGTTTTGCCAGGACACAAGGTACAGATACAGAGCATCGGCACTGTCGCTGATTACAGATGAAATCTCTTGTTGGTGAATTCTGCACAGAGGCAGAAGGCTGTAAAACACTTTGCGCAGGAGGAACGTTTTCAGCTGTAGCGTTTTATGGCTCGTCCACACACACACACACGGATTGTAGATGTGCTTCTGCTACATTGCTAAAGATTGAAGACAGATACTCTCCCTCTCCACGGACCGCAGCGAGGCAGCGGCCAAGGTGATGGTGATCATTTCTGACAAGTAAAATATGAGCTTCCTGACCTTACTTCTCTTATTATGAAGGGCAGACAAACACACACACACACATTTTAAACCTAGAAGGAACTGTGTATTTTTGTATGTGTATGCTGTAGGTCGGATATGCTAAAGGAATATAAAGTTCACCGAAGAGGGGGGAAAAAAGGCCTTTGCACCTGCACCTGCACATGTGTGGGTGGAGCACTGAAAGCCTTTCCGTGGGTGTGAAGTGTGACACATTAACAGCAGATCAGTCCGGTGGTGTGTACATGTGCACTTAATTCACTCTGTCTCTTTTAGTCTCCCTCCGTTCCATCACTCCGCAGCCGAAGCTTTCCGCTCTCCATCTCTAATTAACTGCCAAAATATGAATGTGCTAATCTGGACTGTAAATCTTCAGTTCCACTGACAAAAGCTTTTAAAGGCTGTCACGGCTGCATGATAAACAGCCATGCTGCTCTCCTCCAGTGGACACAGTGCCACCTAGGGATTGAGTCTGGCACCTCAGGAGTTTTCTACTGACATGCTTTTATTGAAGTTTTTTTTCTTTTGTAGAATAATGTCACAGATATCAGAACCTCAGCTCTGGTTTTGAATAATTTATCAAAATGACTCAATGGATGGATAAATCACTGGAGTGGAGCAAAAATACCTGTTGTTAAACAACCCAGCTGCACACCACAACAATGATTCACTGTTGCCCAGCAGGTGAAGAGCATCAATGCAACCGTGAGGATAAGACGGCGCTCACGTAATGTCTGGAGGCTGCAGGAATAGGTGGCAGTACGTTTCTACTGTCATTCTGGTCCCCTGAGCCTTCCAGGCTGCCAAAAGTCTGGCTACTTTGGCCCAGATGATGAGAAGGAGTTCTTCTTATTAGGAACAACATGATTGCGTGAAGTTAAATAAAACCATTTGATAGAACTTTTACAGCAATAGCATCAGATCCTAATGACTAAAATCTTAGTTGTAAACCCAGATTGCTTTTCAGATGCACATATGCCATAGGTTTATCGTTGCTGCTGCTTCTTTGTTGAATTTTTATATTTGTTTAATGTTTCTTTTTATTTGAATCATGTTTTTAAAGCTCTGTTAAGTTAAAAAACCAAATGCGTACAGAAGCTGTGGAGTTATTTTGCTGCTTTTATTTCATTGATCCATTCATATGTGTATGTATACTTTTTGTTTTAAGGTAATTATGATTCTGATCACCAAGCTTAGCTAATCACACTAACCACTTAACTGAGAAGTAACTGTGTCCTCCATTACTGCCACCTTGTGGCTATTTTTATGTTAAAGAAACAAGGGTTTCTGTGACCCATAGAAAATGAATATGAAGTGGATTCATTTATGTGTTATTTTAACCTGCATACTCCAGTTAATGTAACATTCATTGGGCCCTGCACTTTGATTGTTGTGCTTTGCACCATCTACCTTTCATGACAAATACGTTCCACCGCAACCAAATTAAGTGGCTGGTTGGCTAAAACTATACCTTTATGAAAAAAATGGTTTGGGAAGCCCTGTCCCTTACTCCTCCCATTGTATTGCAGTCACTAATTAATTATACAGACTGCAATATAATACAATAAAAACTTTAGTTGAAAATAAGTCTAAAAGCAAGGGTAGCCAATAGTCCTCTGTGCTGTCTTAACAACTCTC